GCCGTGAGAAACGCGTCTCCACGGGCTCCCCGCAGACCGGCCCGGGTTCAAACCGGAGAAGCCTGATGCTTCGGGTCCCGAAGGATGCGGATAACTTAGTGCTCTGCGTCGCTGCACCCGCCTGGGCACGGCCATCTCCTGGAGAAACACCCTGGGGAACCGACCCACCGCGCCTCACGTTACTCCAAGTCTGCAGGACTGTCCTTCAGCCTCCCCTCCAGCGAGGGGTCTCCAAGTAGCACCTCTCCTTTCTGTTACGAGCCGATACCCATCGCTCACATAAAAAACCGACGGTCTGAAAGCGGGAGGGCACTGCAGAATAAACAGTCATGTTTAATGCGATGGTTGTTGGTGGCAGGTACCTCATCGGGGCTTCTGGCTGTAGCGCGGCGGTGACAAACCTGACCAGGTTCTCTCTTTTTGCAGAGCGAGCCCTGCGGAGACGCGCCTGAGGGACCACCCCCCGTTTCACATCTCGCTGAGTGGACTATGGTGGCAGGAAGATGTTGGCTCGGAAGAGTATCATCCCTGAAGAGTACGTGTTGGCACGGATCGCTGCGGAGAACCTGCGCAAGCCGCGCATCCGAGACCGGCCACGCAAAGCCCGCTTCATCGCCAAGAACGGGGCATGCAACCTGGCACACAAGAACATCCGCGAGCAGGGGCGATTCCTGCAAGACATTTTCACCACTTTGGTGGACCTGAAGTGGCGTCACACGCTGGTCATCTTTACTATGTCCTTCCTGTGCAGCTGGCTGCTCTTCGCCATGATGTGGTGGCTAGTGGCTTTTGCCCACGGCGACATGGACCCAAGCACAGAAAGCACGACGAACAGCACGAAGTGGACACCGTGTGTGACGTGTGTCAGGTAAAGTACGGTTGGCGGGATGAAGAAAGGGGGGGAACAGAGCTGCCTGCTGTCCTGCCGATGCCTAAAATGCAGCTTTTGATTTACACAAACCGTTGTGTTTGGTTGAGACAGCTGAAAAGTGCAGTGTTTTCCTCTAAATTACGTAAATTCAGCAAGCCTTCTGGGCTTGGAAAATACTGTACTGTAGATTTCTTTGGTTCCTTACAGGATCTGAAAGAGAGGGAGACCTGCTGCTTTTCATGTGTCTCCACACTCTGTGGGTAACATACCTTGCCTGTCGTGGTAAGAGCCTGCTACAAGAGTGGGTATGTGTTATCTGTATCGTCATGTTGTCTACGGCAGCAGGAGCATCCCCAGCCTGGCACAAGCTGCGCTGGCAAAAGGTGGACACCTCGAGAGCGGTGCCTGTGAGGCAGGGTACCGGCCGTGGGTGTCAGGTAGGGCTAGCAAGGAAAGTGATGCTTAGGGCGAAACTAGATGTCTTTCAAGATGACTTTCATGAGACACCTAAATACAGGGTGCTTCAAAACACCTTGGTGAAGCCATAGGCTAGCAGTTCGACAGAGGAACAGTTTCCACAGCATGCGTGATGTGCCAGACAGTGAAAGCTTAAGGGGCTACTAGGTTAAGTGTCTTCTGGAAAAGTATTTTACTTTCCATCCCCAAAGCCACAACAGTTTTCAAGGCACCGATAAACTGACATAGACATACATGGAAGAGAAAAGTGTTTGTTAATTGGAGGTGGGGTAAGCAATAAGATCATTTCATCATCTCTTCAGTAAAATCTCTTTTTATAGCACTAGGTTTTTAAACAGAAAAATCCTGATTTGGTACCACCAGACTGCTCCAGATCAGCTGCCTTAACCCACTGCAGGGCTGTGAAGGACTCAGGGGGGCTGCAGGGCCCGCTGAGACATCAGATTATTCGCTTTCCTTTCGTCCTCTCTGCACACAGATTTGAGGCACCTCAACAGGTCTGAAGGGACATTGTATCTAGCTGATGAGGGAGAGGAGATTTCATTCTCTCTTCGTTTTGACACTGTTTTGCTAAATGGGGATTTTCCAAGCTAAAGGGAACAGGGATTTTTTCCGAGCTAACCTTCTCTGGTGGTGGGGAGGGATGTTACTGTCTTAGTTCGTTTCCAATAACTGGCCACAAGCAATCGGCTGTGAAATGAGATGTCATGACCCAGCTTGCACCCGCTGGGGTGTCACCCCCGGCGTTTCTGGGATTTGTGGGATGTGTCCGACCCTAGCTAGCGAGCAGCTACACCACGCCAGCTCTGCAGGGTCACCCGAGGGGACATCCTTCTGCTCAGCTGGCGGAGCCCCAGGCTTGGCCCACCCCGTGGGGCTCCCCACGGGGCTCCTGGGCCACCCCACAGAGCCTGATCCAGCTGCCAAGGGCTCTGTGCCTGGCTCCCTCCCCACGGCCCCGCTGGGGCAGCCCCATGGCAGTGGCCAGTCCCGGGGGTCTGCTGGCCACTGCTCCAAGAGCAGCCCTGAGGGCTGTGACAAAGCAGAGCAGATGAATCAGGGTAGCTCTCTGGTTGAGCCCATGAGAAAGAACACGCGTCGCTCCCCTGTCCAAGTACCTGGGGTGGTTTAGCCAACAGCTGCTCATGTGTCCATGCCCAAACCATGGAACGTCTTTTCCCTTCGTAGCGAAATATTTTGTCTTGTTAAATCCAGCTATGGCTTTGGACAAAGTCACGAAATAGCAATGTTGCTGACATTTTTAAGAATGGTGAATTGCTGAATGTAAAATGCATTTAATATTGCAATGACGTGTGGCAAAATAATGGCAAATACTTTTTTTAACCTGCTTGCCTGAGATTTAGGCCCACAGGTATTTCAGGAGAGCTTTCTTGGGTAGGTGCCATCGCAGATTTACAGGAAATCTGGTTTTGGAAATTTTAACCAGTGCCTAGAACTTGCACAGGACTTTATTTTTTCAAAGTACTGCAGAAATTTCTAAGTCTCACAGCTCTTTGCTGCAGAAAGCAAACATTATCCAAAGAGGAACACTGTTACACAAGCTCCAAGGGGAGGGACCTGCGAATAGTGCAATTTGGAGTTTATGGCTCCCTCTTCGCATGGTCAAAATGCTGTACAAACTTGCTGCTTCTGTTACTTCCACTGTAAAAAGCCGGATTCTCTTTTCTGATTTTTTTTTGAAAAAGGAGTACTGTTAGGGGAGATCAGAATATTTACTCCACAGAGCTTTAAGTTGAATTAAGCTGAATGAAGTTTAAACCAGAATCTTCATTTTGCATGTAACTAAATATTCATGAACATAGGAAATCATTCCATGGATTCTATTAATTGACTCCTTCATCCACAATTCTTCAGAGTGAAATGCAAAAGTAAACCCCTCAATGCAAGGGAATCTGCTGAAGATTAAGAAAATCAAAAAGCAAAAAAAAAAAGACAAAGTTCTTTCAAAGATATCTCTGCACAGACTGGCTGGTTTTCTGAAAGATGAACTTTCTCATTCTACAGAAAATTATCCCTGATATTGCCTATGCTATTTTAAAGTCTCCTCATGACCCCAGGTTCACAGAAAATATGGTTAGGAAAAAAAAAATAAAATTTATTTTGAGGCAGATTAGTTGAAAAGCAAACCAAACCCAATGAATGGTTTAGAACCATCTTCATGAGCAGGACGTATTTTCCATATGTAAAGCCATGTTGAGCATGGTGATGCTTCAGATGTTGGTGGATTGCACTGCATTAAAAGGGTGACTATGGTATTCGTTCATATGAGACTCAATGTGCTGCAAGTCTACTGGATCAACCCCAACTGATTTTAGACATAAGACACTTTAGTGAAGGATGTATCTGGTTATAAAAGGAAATTAAAGACCCTGGACATGACACTGTGGACTAAGGCCAGGTTGGATGGAACTCTGAGCACCCTGGTCTAGTGGAAGATGTCCCTGCTCATGGCAGGGGGGTTGGAACCAGATGATCTTTAAGGTCCCTTCCAACCCTTACCATTCTATGATTCCATGACTACTACAGATAATGTATTTTGGAAAGTTTGTGGACAGCATCCTCTGATATAGTCCAGCACTATAGCATATTAGGGACATTTAACTTAACCCACGCTTCTACAGCCCACTCCTGGGCTGAAATTTTCCAGCTAGTCTTGCCACGGCAGTGAGCCAAACCCAGATCCAGGGTCGCAGCGTTGCCCTCCTGCTGGGACGTGCAGAGGGCACCATGGACTCTCTCTGCAGCCTGACGCTGCGGGTGCAGTCGCAAGGCGAGCAAGGGTTTGGGAAGTGTCAAGAATCTGGAAATGTCCCCTTTCCCTCCAGGAAATCCTGCTACAGGGGATCATGACTCAGGTAGTATGAGTGAAATGCTGCAACTTTCCTCATTTCCCTTCCCTGCACATGTTGGTGGAAGAATCTCAGTGTGACAGCCAATTGCTCGCTGTTGCCAAAACCACTGCTCTCCACCAAGGGCTTCATGGGATGGAGCAGCTGGAAAGCCCAGGTGTGTTACAGAACTGTCAGCTAACACAGTAGGCAGCGTGTGTTCCTGAACAGAGGATCTATTGAGCTTCCCAGGGTCACCTAGTGTTACAGACGGTCTTTCAGGAGCTCAGGCTCTGACGTCTTCCCTGTCACCATCACATACTGCACCGATCATACAAAAACAGTGTCACCGAGCATGCAATGCTTTTGCTGGTGTTAACAGAAGGCTTAAGCGTACCAGGACTGTACAAACAGGTCCTTAAATTTGTTTCTAGAAATTTTATGTTAATAGCTTCTCAGTTTGTGTTTGATGTCCTTAGAGTTAACTTTGTGCAATCTTCTTCTCCAGGTCTTTCACCTCTGCTTTCCTCTTCTCCATTGAAGTTCAGGTGACCATTGGTTTTGGGGGCAGGATGATGACAGAGGAATGTCCCTTGGCCATCACAGTCTTGATCCTACAGAACATTGTGGGTCTGATCATCAATGCTGTCATGCTGGGCTGCATATTCATGAAAACTGCGCAAGCTCACAGGCGGGCTGAGACCTTGATTTTCAGCCGGCAGGCAGTCATTGCAGTTCGAAATGGCAAACTTTGCTTCATGTTTCGCGTGGGAGACCTGAGGAAGAGCATGATCATTAGCGCCTCGGTGAGAATCCAGGTTGTGAGGAAGACTACGACCCCTGAAGGAGAAGTCATACCCATTCACCAAGTAGATATCCCTGTGGATAACCCCCTTGAAAGCAACAATATTTTCCTCGTGGCTCCCTTAATCATTTGTCACGTCATAGACAAACGGAGTCCTCTTTACGATATCTCCGCTGCTGACCTGGTGCTGCAGGACCTGGAGCTGATCGTGATACTTGAAGGAGTCGTAGAAACAACTGGCATCACGACGCAGGCGAGAACCTCCTACATAGCAGAGGAAATCCTGTGGGGTCACCGCTTTGTGCCCATCGTCACCGAAGAGGAAGGCGTGTACGCAGTTGACTACTCAAAGTTTGGCAACACTGTCAAAGTGGCAGCGCCGCGTTGCAGTGCTCGAGAGCTCGATGAGAAGCCATCCATTCTCATCCAGACCCTGCAGAAGAGCGAGCTGTCCCACCAAAACTCCCTGCGGAAACGCAACTCCATGAGGAGGAACAACTCCATTCGGAGGAGCAACTCCATGCGGAGAACCAATCCCTCCCTCATCGTGCCCAAAGTGCAGTTTATCACACCCGAGGGGAACCAGAGTGCCTCAGAAACGTGATACACACCTTTATGCAAGGTCGGTGGGCTTCAGAAGGAGAAGGCAACCATGGTGTTTTGTTTAAATTTTCTTTTACTTAAGAAAATGAGAACACGATGCAGAAAGGAACTATGCAATAACTATTTATTCTGTTACTTACTGAAAGCACCACCTGATGGCATTAGGAAACACTTTAGCACTTAGTGTATGAATTAATAAAAAATGGCATGTACACTAAAGAAAACACAGTTCACTCATGTAATATAATGTGTATTTATACTTGTTTTAATGGCATGCTGATTTTTTTTAATCGTATTTTTCTTATCAAGGGTCTCTTTCTTATCCTCTTCTGCTGGCTGCCACAAAATGCGATTTTTTCCTATGTAAGTGGGTTACCCAACTGAAGCCAGAAGTGAGTGCTTCTTCAAAACTGCTTCATGCAACAGGTCGCACAGATTTTGTGCAGGATATTTGTATATTAATTTTTGGGGGGTGAATTCCCTTAAAAGGAGTAGCTAGATTCCTCAGTGGTTTCACTGGTGAAGAGCCAGTATTTTACCTTCAGTTTTCCAGACCTTTTCTTTCCATTGATTTATGGCAAAGGCGTTCTGAGAGTAAACTCAGGTCAGCTGAAGTGACCTGACCATCCCGCAGGAAACCTGGTGCCGCTTTGGGCAGCACTGACAGACAAACCAGCAAAACAGCACAGCCCCTTGCAGAGCACCACTCTTCTCAGAGTGAGGTACCCCGCTGCAGGGCAGTGTGCGTCTGCCATGTGGCTGTAGCCCAAGCTGTGAAACTCAAATCCTCCCGGCTGCCACCTGAACATCCATTTCACTGAAATTATTCAAGTTGAAAAAAGCACATGGCTCTTTAACATCCTCTTCATGTCGGTGGAAGACCAAATCCTGTTTTGTTTTCTCTTATAGATTCATACACTGAAGGCAACAAATGTACTTTCTTCACTTACAGTATTTTTTGTAGGATTAAGTCTGTTTGCTTCAGCAGGCGGTTACTTTTTGCCAGTAGGAATTCATGAATGGGAACGAGAGGGAATGATGCTGATAATAGTAAAGATAGTATTTTCAAAACTATCTGCATAGTTTTCAAGAGGACTTGGGTGCTGCTGCTGAATCACTATTTTTCATCAGTCTCACCTGTTTTTTTATACAATATGGCATTGAGAATTGGTGGTAAGCAGCTTTTGTCTTCAAATTAAAATGGCCATTCATTATCTAGACCCTTCCCAAAAATGTCATCACAAGTTCTTCTACAAGAATAAATAAATGTATGACAACTAATTGTATGATATTTGCTAATGCTAAATTGATGCGTGCTTGTTTCCTCCGTGAATAAGAATTATGGACAAATTCCTGTTCAAATTTCTTACAAAAATTGTCTTATTATGTCTGTGGCTCAAAAGACATACTATCCTTGTACTGACTCTCTGAGCCACTCAACCACTTAAATGCTGGTTTCTCATTCTCTTTGGAAGTCAGTTTGTCAGCATTTGCATGGACAGTTTGCAGGCTTCGTGCGGTGTTGGGCAGTGGCATGGAGGGGCATTGCTCTGTAGTGTAGGCTCCCTATGTTTGGAGCAGGTGCTCTCCAGAACATGAACACTGACAAAATACTTCATCTGAAGCAGTAGCGGAAACTGATGTTTCTGCTAAAAGCATTCATTCCCTGGCCTGCCCATTAATGTTCTGGGAGGATGGACGGTGAACATCTGGAGATATTAATCTGTCCATTGTGTGTCCAAACAATGAACCTCTGTAGCTTCCAAGAAGAGTCAGAGTGAAGCACATACAATTTGTCTCTGGCCTCCGTTTGCAGGGCTGTGAATTTCCTTGAGGCTATTTGATCTATGGTTAAGTCAGATGCTGTACAAAAGCAAATTTTCTACAAAATAAAAAGGTGACAATAATTATTTCTTCTGTCTCTGATTTTTTCCTGTTTCTCCCCCTTTTTGCCTTTGTATTGTCCATTCATTCTTCTGTACTCCTAGTCCTTCTTGTATCCCAGCCTTTTCCATGGTCCCTTTGAGTGATAATTTTATATTATCTCAGTACTCTCTCAGTGTTGCAGCTGAGATTTTTTTTTTACCCACAACCATTTTCTCATTCTCTTCTTAAACATATTCTTCTTCCCAATTTTTATTTTGCCTTCATGTCTCTCTCTGCTTCGCGCCTCATCTACTCTCTTTCCCATAAGGCTATTTCTAGGGATATTGGTATTTTGAGGTAACCCTAAGGCTCCTCAGTCTTATGTGAGGATGCTGAAGAGATACACAAGGCAGACCCTTGTGTCATGAGTGTCATGCTCCTATGTGCTGTGCTCCTGCTCCTTGCAGAAAATCGCTTAGCGCAAAGCCCCTTTCTTGAGTAAGTTTTGCAGACCTGGAAGAGGCCGGCAGCAGAAGCAGTCAGGGTAAGCCACCTGGCTGGCTGTAGAGAGAGGGTGGGGATGTTTTAGGGCTGGCAGCTGCGTTCCTCACCAAAGCACAAGTATCAGACCCAGCTTCACAGCATCATGCCTGCTAAGAGGGGATGAGCTGGCAGCAACACAGTTCAATACGTTTAGTCATTTATTCTTCCTGGCAACTTTATCAGATTAAAAGGGCTTTATTTTAAATTTAAAATTTTCTGTGTTTCAAGTACACTGTCAAGTTAAGAATGACAGTTGAGACTTTTACCAAATACTGCTGACAGTTCATGCTGGCATTTAACCATCCCTCTCATTGATAACAATTTTGAAAATTAGAAGCAATAATGTGTAAGCATCATCTGACTGCCAACCCTTCGCACTTATATGCGTCCATGCCATTCCCATCCCCCTGTAATATGGTATACCTGGAACTGCGTTATTTGACATTGCTTATTCCATGTATTTAATACGCTTTGGCTCTTTGAACAGCTTACCAGGATTATGATGCTGTGTTGTCTTCTGTGGGGAGCAAAACTATTTCCTAAGAGTAGAAAAGTGATTATGCAGTCCTTCCAGGACAGGCATAATATCTAGAACTGCATTTTATTTTTTCTTTCTAGCCTTACTTAAAGAATTTCTCTATTTTAAAGAGAAAAATGACAGTGAGACCCTTTGCCCTCTGTTTGGATACCCCGAAGATTCAGAGTTGCCGTGGTGGGGGACACAGGGAGCAAACAAACACAGACAGAGCTTGCAGGTGATATAAAGTTTAATGCTCCCAGGTGGAAGCCAACCTCTGAGTAATAAGATTTGGAGGAAACTTTCCCTGTTGGCAGGTTATTCTGGAGCTGTCACCTTCAGGATTTCTGATGCCTTCTGTCGAAACATCTGGTGCGAGCCAGGGACAGAGGCAGGACTCTAGTGTGGGCGCAGCCTGAGCCAGCCGGTTAAACCAGGTCTCTGCGGGAGGGCTGGCAGACCACAAACACCTTCCTTTCCTCTCCCCAGAGCAATGTCATCAAACCCCGTAGTGATGCCAACCACCGGAGAGCCCCAGCTGCAGCCAAGCCTTTGCCAGCAGATGCAATTGAGAGCTGCCCAAAGCCCAGAAGGTCTGGCTCCAGGGAGGAGCCCTCAGCACCCGTGGCATGGAGGAGCGCACAGCCGAACGAGACAGGGCTCAACGTGGCTGCTGGAGGGGGTAGCCTGGATGAGTGAGACTGCCAGGGCGTCTGCGCTGCAGGCAAGGCAGCAGGGTAGCCCTTAAGGCCTAGGCTGGATCAGGGCTGCCGAAGGTACAAGCAGGATGGGCACCTAAGCATTAAAATCTGATGGAAGTCAGATTGTGACTCAACAAGCAATAACTGGGTGTATTTCAGGTGCCCTGGGGCACCATGTCTGGCCCCCACAGATGCTCAGACGGCCACTGGTCTCCTGTCAGGGCCATGAGACTCCTGCCTGCTCAAAGCACCCCTCCTGGGCACCCTCCAGTGCACCCAGCTGCATCCTGCTGTGTGTACCAAACCCCCGCTAAAGCCTGCTGCAAGTTGTGCATTGAACCTCTCCGTAACACTAGGCAACACTGTGGCCTTCTAAAACAATCCCCCTCTCAAGTATTGCTTCATGGGCACGTGTTGCACCACCGCAGTTTGCCCTTGCGAACACAAGTTGCATGGCTCCATACACAGAAGGGTTATCCTAAGCTTTCTGGGATACTCAAGACACCAACCAGCGAGAAAGCAGGAGGTATATTCAGATTTAGCTAATACCTCGTGCATGCAATAGGCCTTTACCCTAACACCGTGTCTTACTGTAGTCCATCAGGTCATTTCAGAGGCACAGGACTTGACTTACCTCACAGCTATCTTGAATACATTTCACAAAAGCATACGCCTTTATCTATATTGCATAAAGTTTAGGCAAGGAGTCACGCTTTTGCTTTTCTGTCTGGAAAGCAGTATGCATACACCATTCCTCCTGACCATAAAAAACATGGCTTATTCTGCATATCTTTTCTTCCCTCACAAACTAAGATTGAGGACATTTTGTGAAACCACTTTCCAAGCTCTCCAGTGATTGTTATTAGCAAATGTTTGTTGCTGCAAGCTAAAAACGTAGTTAGTTCAAGACCAGAAGGAACTTTGACTGGAGAAAAAAACATTAGATATTATACGATGAAAGGAACAAAGCTTTCACTATTTTTGACAAATTACATCCTCTGCAGAGCCTGGTATTTTCAAAACGCTGGTGGGGGGTTGGAAGGCACCATCAAACAACAAATCATGTTCTTCTAGACTCTGATTCTGTGCTGTGCTACTATTAGCAGCAGGGTGTTGTAGTCCCAGCATGGTATCCTGCAAGTGTGCATCAGCCTGGTCTCTGGATGCTTGCAGTCACCGCACATGATGCTGGGGACTCGCGGTGAGCTGGGTGGTGGCTTGCTCCAGGAGCTGTGGTCGCCAGACTCTATGGGGAGTGATGCTGGGACTTGTGGATGCAAGGTTGGGGCTGGAGGCAGCAAGGACCCTGGTGTCAGTGCCCTGGGCTGGTGACTTGTCCCCAGGAGCAGACTGGGAAGTGGTGTGGCTCCCCAG